AAATTTTGTTCATTAAATTTTTTAAATTTTTTTATTAATGAAAATGTTGTTATTTGTGAATAAAATAAAAAAAAAAAACTAACAGATGCGCCCGGAATTGCGTGAGATAATATGATCTAACTAAAATTTTTTTTTTTGTTGCACTACTTATGATCGCCAGTGTATAGACTGTCGATATTATTATATTTAAAGGCTTTAATCCTATCAAAATTTTATTTCATTTATTCGTATTCATTTTATTGCACATTTTACCAAAAACTTTTATTTAATATTAACGCTAAAAGACTGTTTTCAAGAGTATCATATCGGTGTTAATAATTTTTCTATTATAAATTAAGCGCTTTTTGCTATAAAATTATATTCCTCAAAAGTTAATAAAAACTGATACTTAGAATAATCGATCAATTTTTAAATAAAGTTATTACTTAATATGTACTGTAACTTGAGTCCCAAATAATTTCTTACAACTTACAAGTAACTGAATTTGATATTGAATATTCTCTTATAAATATTTCTTCCGAGATTTGAACAATAAATGTCGCAGATTATAATGAAATCGGATTAAAATGAAATAAAGGCTTTCTATTTGACCCTCTAAACCCACTTATACTTGTTTATTATAAAACCTGCTTCTAAACCCTAATCCTAACCCTAAAGAAATGCTAAAAAATTGCACCCCAAAAATTTGTATTTTTCGGTGGCTTGTCTATTTTACACTATCCCTCATTTCATTTTATTCTGATTTCATTTTAATCTGCCACATTAATTACATGGTTTCTCAATCAGAATTTGAGCAAGTTATGGAAAAATTACGTGAATATGGTTTGAGCTTGATGATGATACGTATGTTTAATAAAAGGGGTCTAGGTCAAATCCTGAAAGTCAAAATCCTAGCGTTCCCATCCATTATCTATTTAACCATTTATCTATTAGATATTCGTAAACCGTTATCCGAAGTATCTTATCCAAATCTGTCGAATATCCGTTTACTATTGATCTTGATCGATAGTGAAAAAATCGGCTAAAAGCAAATTATCGCTTAGCCGGTCGATTTTTTTAAAATCGGCTGATCGATTTTATTACTAGGATTGTAGTTGAGCCTAAAATATGAGCAGGGTTGAGGCCAAAAAAATTTTCAGTAAAGTCCGAATGAAATGATGTAATTTTACAGCTGTTTTCATCATTCCTGGGACACCTGACGACCGATCCGCACGCATGTACCAATTTTTATTGAATCTATTATTATTATTATTATTATTATGCCGAAATAATAAATTAACCGGATCGACCGAAAATAGTTCGGCTAATTTTTTTACAGGTGTCCCAGGACTAAGCTGGTAGATTTATCGGCTCAGTCATAGCCAAAAAATTTTGATCGGCAAAAATCACTATAATTATTCGAATATCTATCGGATTATTCGGATATTCTGATCTGTTTATCCGATATGGATTATCCAGATAATTCAGATACGGATAAATGGATGACGGACGGATTTATCCGGATTGGAACTCTAATTCAGTGAAGTAGTACTGTACACCAGTACAGATTCGAACATACAAAATTATACTAAATTTGATATTACGTATGGTTAATATAGACTTGCAAAGTCGTGTTAGTAGTAAAAGTAATTTGGATTTGAGAATTTTTTCTTTTATAAACCGTACGTACTATCATGATTTCTACATGTTTATGTATTATTTTGGGGAGACGCTAAAGCCTTGAGCAACTAATTCTGCGCCACCTACAAAAAAAAACCAGGGATACGCTAAAGCCTCGTAGGATGATTCTATTATCACATCGAGTGTCGGGTTCCAATATTCAAACTCCGCTTTTGATTAGTAAAAATTAAAAGCGGTGTTTGAACATTGGAACCCCGACATCACAATGTGATAATTAGGTTTTGGGATGTTGAATGCGTCGAATGTCGTGATTTCAGAGTAGAATCATCCCACAAGGCTTTAACCGACCTCCTATTGTGTTTATCGGATTCGAAAATGCCACTTAATGAACTATCCAATCAAATCTCAGAATCGAATGGCAATTGACTAAAATTCAAAAGCATCGTATCCCGAAAAAATCCCCTTAAAAAATTCTCTAAAAATCACAATTTTCTGACTATTTCATTTCTATCTGAGTATTAAGAAATTTTATTTAAGTATTTAAAAAGCTATTCAAGTTTACGAAATATTACTCTTTAATTTCATTTGATTTGTTTAATTTAGTTTGTGAGTAGAAAGGTATTTGTCGTGAATATTTACTCGTTAATTCGTTGGCTAAAAATTAACTGCATAATTTAAAACTAATTAGTATGAACATATGATCGAATAGATTCCATTTAATGGGCTATATAACATTAAAAAATTGGAGGATTAGGTTCTGTATTTCGGAATCTGGTTAGATAGTATATGAAAGATCGATAGTTGGGGTAATTTTGTAAATCATTTAATTAATCGTTAATATTCGTACTGTAAAATTTTAAAAAGGTAACTTCAAGATCTCACATTACTAATTAAATTAAAATATTTATCATTTATAGATATTTCGTGCGATCTATGCAGAATACGAACTTTCATAGTAAAGTTTTGTAAGATGAAGAAAGTGTGCAATTTTATATCTCAGGTTTAGGATTGTCTAGAAAGGAAAAATGATTCAGAAGTTGTTTTAGTTAAACACAAAATGCAGTTCTATGGGCAAAAATTTAAGTTATTGACGATTTTTGATTAAGTTAAATCTGAAACGTAATTAAGTTACCTATGAAGCTGCAGAATTATATTACATGAAATATTAAATCTTCCAGTATATCATATCGCAACAAAACAACTTGTTTTGTCAAGATCTGATCGGATGTACTATGTGATCTATCGGATATTAGTCTATAAATAGTCCGGGGGCAATGCAAATTCACGTGATTTATTAAAGGATTATTAATGTTAGTCGCATGATTATTGTCGTAAGCAACTGCCCGTAGAATTTGTGGGATTGGGTTACAAAAAACGTTGTCAGGACACAAAAGGGTAGTTTCATAAGCAAAATTTAGAATTATTTAGAGACGATGCAAGTTCACGTAATTTGTTAGAGTTGGAGATAGGATTGGTAACTTAGTCGTCATAAAGGGAATCACTGCAACATTATATTGTTGAAATAATATGAATGCCATTTTGTAGTGAAGATGGAATCTTCTAATGACTTTAATGAAAAGGATATGCTAGGTTTATATAAATATTTTACTGTCTTAAAATACGTTTCCACTCGTATTTTCATCATTACATTTGTCAAAAGCAAGACTTATTATAGTAAAAGCCCCGAACACGTTAATCGGTTAAGCAATAGATGATACATGAACATTGAGGCAAAATTGATCAATCAAGAAAAATTTATTGGCTAATGTCACGGCTGATGCCGAATTTTGGGGTCTTAATTTGAATACACCTACTAAAACTCACATAAACTCTTTTATTAACAATTTTAACCCTAAATTCTAGTCTAACTATTACAAAAATGCTAAAAAAAATTCACCTATCAAAATAGGTCCCAATATTCAGCATCAGCCAGATTCAGCATCAGCTGTGACAACTAATTATAATTAATCAATCTACTAAGACTATAAGTTAAAATATAAGTATCAACTTAGTTCTGTATTTGAAAAGATTTATAAAACAAAGAATAGAATTCTTGTCAATTCTAAAGAAAATGGGATTGGGGATAAGGTTCTTATCAGGAGACTCATAGAAAGAATGAGTCAGAAATGAAGTCATGGTCAGAAAATTCATAAAAAAAAGGCAAACAAAGAACGAAATTATCACCAGGAAATTCATAAAAAAAAGGAGAATAAAGAGCAGAATTATCATCAGGAAATTCATTTAAAAAGAAGTTACGAACATAGTTCTCGCCAGGAGATTCATAGAGTTGGACAGGTGATAAATATTGAGGTTCGTAGAAGTTTACAGCGTTAGAATAATTTCGTTCAGGAACTGGATTAATGGGAACAGGATCGATGACAGTCGACACAGAAGGTTGATCATGCCTTATGGTAGAATTGGGAATATTATTTTCATTCGGCAATAATTTTAGAAGAGCCTCAAGCTTTTCTGTACAAATATTATTGTAAATTTTAGTGCGAAAATGACCTAGAAAATAGTAGGCAGTCTGAATATTTCACCACACCTTGTTCTACTTCCGCCTTGGTTCCATTACTTGTGTGAACATATATTCGGCCATTTTCAACAATAAAATTAGCTCTGATAGGTTGGACTAATTAAATATCAAATGTTAGGATATGCACAAATTCATTAAAGAATTATGTGAATAAATTTGTACCGTCAATAACCACTTTACAGTTTTTGCATTCTTCGGAAAATGGAAGATTGTTTTTATAACAATCAATACATTGAACTAAACAATTTTTGTTTTTTCTCGCGCATTTTTCGCACTTGTATATTCCTAGCGTTCCCTCATCATGATGGCACTTCTTCCCTTGGCGACGACAAAGATCACATTTGTAACCAATTGACATGCTGACTATACTTTTTGTGAAATCTTTTGCAAAATTTTCAAACTTTGGAATAAGCAAGAATTTATCAGCAACACATTTATATACACTTTTGCTACCGAAAAATCTTTCGTGTAGGCATCTTTTTTGGGATATTATTTATCTATAGGAGTGATATACAGAGTTGGCATTTTACTATATTTTTTTCTATTGGCATATAATTCTATTCACTTTTTTTTATTTTTCTATTATAAATTTTACTATTAATTAAATATAAAATATTTTAAATTTATTACTTTACTAATGCTCTAACGATATATATTTAAATAATTATAAATTATTAATAAAAAAATTTTTTTTTATATTAAGACAAAAAATTGAGCTTTTGTTCTATTGCCAATTTGTATATAAAAAATTTTTTTTTAAATTCAATAGGTATTTTATATGTTAGATACATTTAAATTGATGCATTTTAGTAATGGGTAGGTATATGTCTAGTTTATTGTTAACTTATCTAATCGTTTATTTTTAATAAAGCAAAAAACGCCGTGTGCCTAAATCTTTCAATTATAGGACATTCTTCAGCAGAATAAAAGTTTCACGGCAGAATTGAAAAAAAGCCACCTAAATAAAACTGATACTTTTAGAAATATTAAAACTAAAGGGAGATAAAGGGCTGAATTCAAATTTATTAATGATAACGCTGAAACACAAATTATGCGACGATTAATGTCGCGGAAAATTCACCGGTTATTCGGAACAAAATGCATATTTAAGGTTTAAAAACTTAACCGGCCCCAGATAAATAATAAATTCAAAATGAAAACAATTAAATTCAACAATATCACAAAGTTCAAATATTTGGATGAACTAGAAAGGAGAAAAAAAAAAAAACCGACTTCCCTTAGAAAATTTAAATTAGTTTCCCGCAGCAATTCTACGCCAGAAACAACATTCAATTCGCAAGTTTTCCACGACGATTCTATGTCAACAATAACACTTAATTCGCAAATGCTTGTTAGTATTATACAATTTTTGACGACCTTATAAAAATAACCACAGAAAAAACTTTTAAATAAAATAGTTATTGACAATATAACCTCGATATAATCATTGGGTTTGTAACTAAAACTTCATGTGATTAAGATATGAAGATGTCAATTTTCTTATAATTGGTAAAACGAATAAATCAGCTTTTTTATAACTTATATCTATATTAAGAGTGATTATATCAAGGTTAAACTGTAGAAAGTTTTTGCTAATTACATACTGGCAAACTTCCATATATGAGTGCTGCTAAGGAAAACCCGTCATCGAACTTTCAATTATATTTAATGCCCAGTCTGTTCCCTGAGTACCGTCTAGGAAGATTCTATCATTGAGCTTTCAGTTATATTTCATGACGACTCATCACAAAATATAATTGTAGGTCCGATGATAGAATCTCCCTAGGTGGTACTCAGAGAACAAACTGGGCATAAAATATAATTGAAAGCCCAGCTGAAAGCCCGATGGCAGATTTTCCCTTAGCAGCACTCATATAATGTTCTATATATGCATATCCTCTTTACTACTGATGACACTTATAAAACTATTTTCTCTAAATCACACTCTTTATAAATGTACATTCATGGTCGATTAAGAGTGCGTGCATATATTGGGAGTTTGACTTGTAGCATTATGGAATTCATAGGGAAGTCTATATAGATTTCAGAACAACCCATATAAAAGAATTTATTATTTACTATTTAATATTCATTGTATTTATAAACTTTTAAAATAGGAATCAGGCTTCATAGAACCACCTAAGCTGTTGAATAGCTGTGCAAGTTGTAGAAAATCAAAAAAAAAATGTGTATATAAAGGAAAATTAGGAGAGTTCAGATGCGAGAGGTGCAAGAAGAGTTTAAAAGAGTGTCTATTCCAATGCATGGAGTGTTATCAAAAAAACAAAAAGGAGCTTTCTAAATGTGTAAATTGTAAAACAACTGTAAATGGTAAGCATCATATGGTGTGCATAGTATGAATTTAAAAAACCGTAATGAAATTATTTTTATCTAATCCAAAATAATTGTTATTTTTTTTTTATCTAATTCGGACCATCGACTAGATCCTTCCACAGAGTATAGCATCGTCATAAACGCAGATAACAAAAAACCTTATCTTCAACATTCTAATTGTGACCATAAAATTGAGATCACTTCTGGTAACATAATTGTTAAATATTTGGTTGTTTCTTGGTTGCTCAAATTCTAATATTATCTATATATAATAGCTTTATTAAACGACATGACACAATCGTATGAAACAAGTGGTCAAACTTATCAAATGACTAATAATAGGTATCAATATTCATATTTACTTTTAGTAACAAATTATCACAAAGTTGTTTTTTATAAACTTTATGTAACTCTATAAAATTATATAAATATTATATAAAATTTTTATATAGGTCTACAAACCCAA